ATTGTGTCTTTAGTACCTAGAAGAGTAGATGGCACACAGCTCAATATATATAATCGCAGAAAGAACTTAAGAGTTGGTGGAGAGCCCCATTAGTAGACAGACCCATTGCATGCCTCATTTCTCTGTATTACCATAACACAGATAATATGCCATTCCAATACACTCTACTGAATATTTATTCTTTTATTTATTTATAAGTACTTCAAGATGCATTTATAACAAGTACGGCAATTTGGTTTTGACATTACTACCATGCTATTATTATACCTAATTCTTTAGTATTTCCTAATACCTGGTCTACAACTGTTACAAAAATATCTCATATAATTCCGTTCATTTTGGGAGAAGGTCTCACTGTATAGCCCTGGCCGGCTTGCAACTCTCTAAATTCTCTATATATACACCAGGATGGCCTCACACTCCTGAGTCATGGCTAGCCACAATTTGGCTATAATTTTTTTTTAAATTTATGTGTGTATGTGTTTGTCTGCACACAGGCTAATGGCAGAGGAGGACTTTAGATATTTTCCTCTATTGCTTTTGACTTTATGAGATAGGATATCTCAGTTGGCAGACTGGCTTGGCTAGTAAGAGCCAGAGATCTGCTTGTTTCTACAATCCTTCCCACAAGTGTTGGGGTTATAGATGGTCTCTCATCCAAGCCCAGCTTCTTACATGGGTGTTGGGATCCAAACTCAAACCTCATGCTTACATGGTAAGCACTTCATTGACTGAGCTATCTCGCCACTCCCCAGGTATTAATCTAAACCCAGTACTGGTTCCCTTATTTGTTTATTTATTTATTTTGGTTTTTTGAGTCAGGGTCTCACTATGTAGCTATGATTGTCCTGGAACTCCCTATGTAGACCAAGCAGGCCTTGAAAACACAGAGCTCTGCCTACCTCTACCTACTGAGCGCTGGGATTAAAGGCATGCACCACCACACCCAGCTTGAATCTTTTTTTTTCCCCCATTTTCATTTTTAATGCCATTTATTTGATGAAGAAACAGAAACACATGAAGTGCAGATTTTCACATTCTAGATCTGGCATACTGATTCCTCATGGCTTTCCTTAACATAGTATTCTAGCATCTGCATTTCCTTAATTAGATTACAGGTTCAAGGTTCTGTGCTAAGGTCAGAATCTTTACCAAGTGCTCTATACTTCCTATTGCACTCCAGTGGGACAAACACGACACCTGTTTGTCCATCAGTCTGTCCATGCCAAAATATTTAGCACAGTCCCCATGCACTGCCATCTGCATTAACCCTGAAATGTACATGAAAAATAAAATGCAGAGGAATGAAATCATGAATAAAAGTACAATGAAGTATAATAAAAATCTAATGGCAATATCTATGTAGGAAGTGGGTACAAGGTATTCACTTCAAAATTCTTTCAATAAATAAGTGTTTCCCACTAATATGTACAATTAATATGAGTTTTACACACACACAAGCCAGGTGCGGCAAGACACAAATGTAATCCCAGCAATGGGGAGGCACAGGCAGGAGGATCTCTGTGAGTTCTAGGCCAGCCTGGTCTGTAGAGCAAGTTCCAGGTCAGCCAGGGCTACATAGTGAGACACTGTCTCAGAAACCAAAACCAAGTGGTAGTGGCACACACCTTTAATTCCAGCACTTGGAAGGCAGAGAGGTAGATCTCTAGGAGTTAGAGGCAGCCTACTCTACAGTGAGTTCCAAGGTGAGTTCAAGATAGCCACAACAGGGAAACCCTATCTCGAAAAATCAAACCAAAAACAAAGACAAATAAACAAACAAAAACCACTAAGGGGCTGGAGAGATGACTCAGTGGTAAAGAAGATCTGTTGATCTTCCAGAGGACCCAAGTTTGGTTTCCAGTATCCATGTCAGTTGACTCATATCTATCTGCCTGTAAACTCCAGGGAATGTAACTCCTCTGTCTTCTGAAGGTATCTGTGCTCAGGTACATATGTACATGTGTGTGCATACACACACATACACACACACTTAATAAAAACATAAATTACTAAAAATTACTTCAAACTTGAAAATTTTTATAATAAGGGGGAGTCAGTTTCACTGGGTATTTGAGGCCTAACACATAAAGTTTTTCACCCATGACGCTTTTAACCATTTGGGCAGACAATGGTGATCATTACCTAAATCTGTAATTTCATAAAGGTTTGAAAAATGTAATTTTCTAGCTTTTTTTTTTTAAATGGTTTTGGCTGTGATTGTCCTATAGGGCAAGCAGTCTGTCAGTAACTAATCCACATTGCCTACATTTCTTATCTGATTGAGCTGGGGTCTAATTACTACAGGAACGGCAAGACAAATGCTTACCCCATTCCCTTTGATCACCAATTTACAAAATGCAGGCCAAATGCCCTAACAATTTCTAAAGAGTCCTGTGACATTTTAAAAATCATTTTCTGTCTTTGGTGTGTCTACTGTAGCCATTGTTCCTCTGAATGCTGTAGTTGTGCTGTGTATTGCAACAAAAGTCCCTTCAAGGTGGCTCCGGACTGCTATGGCCATGACCCCATTAAATTCAGACAGCTTTCTGTGCCTGGCACACGAAGATGCCTTGAAGCTTATACTGTACAATCTTCGCCCTAGACCTCAAATCAACCTTTATCCCAGAGAGCTCTGAGCACTTTGAGGAGAAAACAGTATTTATAGACTCCACTCTGGATCTAGGGCACTTACTGCAGCTGACTGCCATTGATCTGGTACTGACAGTGGACCACACTAGGAAATATCCATTTTTTAAAAGAAAAATATCAATCATGCATTCATATTAGTATTTCCAACTGGAATTCAAGAATATAGGGCTACTTTACTAGTTCTTTGGTTTTTATATTTTTCTTATACTAAAATCTTCATTCCTCATAATACCAAACAAACAATTTATAACTTATTTTCTTTGTGTGTGTACCCATGTGAGTGTGGGCATGTGTGTACTTCAAAATAAAATCCCCATATCATCACTAGCAGTGATATTATAAAGCACAGTTAGTACTTCCTGATGGTTCTTTTTGTTCTGGCACATTTTAACTAATCTGTGAGAAGGGTGAGCTAATGGGCCACCTCATCTTTTGTACTAGCTCAACACTATTGCTCCTTAATTAGGAGTGATGGAGGTATGTGCAGAAGCTCAAGTCCTATCAGCTTTTAGATCACCCCCCCTTCCACCCAGCACCCTAAGACGGAAACAGGCCTGGATGAGGAAATATTCAGGAACCATATAAACACAAGAAAAACAAATCACCCTGCTGAGTAACATGGGGTCAGTGAAGTAAAGAAGTGAGGGGCTTGAACAGAAATCAGGAACACAATTCCCATTAAACAGGCAAGCTGAGTCAGAGCTGACAGGCAGCAGCTAACGTTCTCAGCAGGAGCTCCAGCGAAATGCTGCTTAGCAACACGGATGGCAGATGACAATGACAACTATACAAAGAGCTGGAGGATCAGATTTAAGTGTGACAATCATACCATCTTACAAATGACTCTTTACCAGCCAGACACAGCTAATTCTGCTTAAGTGGTAAAATATGGCCCCTGCATTGCCTATGCATTACTAATTTTATCTCCTTCTTTATAAAAAACAAAGGTAGTAAAAATAACGTTTCAGTCAATAAGATTCAGTGACTGACCCACCCAGGAACACTAGCCTGAAACCATTGTTTTTAGAATAATCTTATGAACTGCACAGGATGCTATGAGATAACTGTGAATCTAAGGAAGTATAAAGTTTTAAGTGATCTTATTAATATTTTTATTTTTTATTTTTCTTTCTTTCTTTTTTGTTTAGTTGTTGGTTGGCTAGTTATTTGCGAGACAGGGTTTCTCTGTGTAACCCTGGCTATCCTGGAGCTCACTCTTAGACCATGCTGGCCTCAAACTCAGAGACCTATCAGCCTCTGCGTCCCCAGTGCTAGATTAAAGGTATATGCCACCACACCGGGACTAACACTTTTTTTCCCAAATTTGAATTCCAATCATTCTCAACTTTGTGTGTCTATGTATGTCATATGCACACATGTGTGTAAGTACATGTGCCTATGTGTATGAGGGGACCAGAGGAGGATGTTAGATGTCCTGCTCTATCCCTTTCTATCTATTCATTTGATATAAAGAAGCTCACTGAGCCTGAACCTATGCTGATAGCAAACCCCAGCAATCCTGTCTCCTGTCTGTACAGAGCTGGGGTTACAGGCACACGTGTTATCATACCAAGCACTTTACATGGCTACTAGGTATTCAAATACAAGTGTTCTCACCCTCTAAGCCAGTGGTTCCCAACCTGTAGGTCACAACCCCTTTGAGGCAGGGTCAACTGACCTTTTTACAGGGGTTACCTAAGACAATCAGAAAACACAGATGTTTACATTATGATTAATAACAGTAGCAATAAATGTAACTTTTGGTTGGAGATCAACACAATATTTAAAGGTTGCAGCATTAGGAAGGTTGAGAGCCACTGCTCTGAGCCATCACTCCAGCCCTTCATTTATAACTTTTGGTCCATGTGGAATCTTAAAAAAATAAAGACTCAGGCTCTCATTTGAGCATATTAAACCAAAACCTCTAAAAGGGAGGCAGGTAGCAGTATATTTTTTAAATGCTAGGTGATTTTATTTGCACTCAAAGTTGAATTATCACTATAGTATAATACATATGTAAAGCAGTTCTAGTTATTTAATGTATGTGAGACTCACATCCGGAGCTTGTCAAGCACATGGAGTAGTATGAAAGTCAGAGTCAGCTGGCCTGGTGTGAGCTTAATTAATAGCCTTCATGTTTAACCAGAATTCCAAAAAACATGGAAAGGGTGCCACCAAATTGCACTCTAAACCGCTGTTGCCCCGAGCTCACAGATTTGCCTACCTCTGCCTCCAAGTGCTGGGATTAAAGCTGTGTACCACCATGCCTGGCTAAACATTTATTTTTTGAAAACTGTAAAGAAACCAAAATAACAGCAGGCTGAATCCAGAATGTGACAGCTACTAACCTGAGTGATGTGTGTAAATATTTGCTCAGACATTCTCTCACACAGAACAGCCAGCAACTGCAGGACCAGCAGCTTCCTCTCTTGGTCTTCTATAAGTAGAGCCTGGTATTGCTCTAATTCCAGCAGGTTTGTATAACAGGAGGGCATAGGTTTGAACTCTGCTTCATTTTCCACTATCAGGTGAGACAACTCCTAGAAGCAGGGGATAAAAGAAAGAGTGAAGACTAAGGACTTGGCAAACATATGTAGGAAATTCACATCCAAGCAAGTAATCTGTATTTGTTACATATTCTTGTAATCTCAGCTACTCGGGAGGCTGAGAGAAAAGGATTGCAGGATTGAGGCCACCAAGGCTACAGAGTGAGTCCAAGACCACCCTAATCACTCAGTGAAACCTACCTCAAAATTAAAAGTAAAAAGAGCTAGGGGTATAACTTCATGATAGAGTTCTTGTCTAGTATAGATAAGCCCTGGGTTACTGAGAAAAAAGAAAAGAAAGGGAAAAAACCCATAAGCTGTAGAGTAATATACCATGTATATGAACTTATACACACACACACAAACACAGAGCACTGGTTTAAGAGAGAAAAACAATTCATGAAAGTTGTTCTCTGATATCCACACATGCACAGTAGCATACACATGCCCACATACATACACATGCACACACTTACAAAAACAAACACAAATAAATATTAAGTGTACAAAAAAGAACTTGTTTGTATTTTCACAATTCCTATCACTAGCCCACCTTGAACTGAGTCCTCAGATATCTAACTTAGCAAAGTCTGAGACCATTAGATGGCTTACCTTTAAAATAAGTAACAAATAAACCTCTATTCATGGAGAATTCATTATTGTGGGTTTGGTGAGCTTTCACCTGCCATTGTGAATTTCCATAGAAAGGGAAACCTCAAGTTCCCTAACCATTAGCACTTTGCAAGTAGCTGACAGCTGAGAGTAATGGCATTCAATTGCACCTGGGGAATTTTCTTCCCTGGGGGGGCATTCTGAAATGTCTGCAGGACATTTTTGGTTGTCATAATTGGGGGTTAACACAGGCATTTAGTGGGGAGAGGTCACAGATGCTGCTAAAAATCCTACAAAGAGCAAGACAACCACACCAAAGAAGGCACTTATCTAGATCAAATGTGAATTTTGCCAAGGTGAAGTTTCCCTGGTTTCAAGCAGGGCTTCCTAAACATTTCCACTCATAATTTCTTTTCCTTGAGAAATTTTAATATAATTCCATGTGTGGTTGTACATATAGCAGGTATACTAGTCAAGCATATAGTGGTAATAAATTACAAAGAAATTTACTTTAAAACAATTCTTTGGCATACACATGCTTTTACCATTAAAGATGAACTAATTTGCATACTAACAAGATGGGTTTGCTTCACTAGTTTTACATTAAGAATTCAATTTTGAATATTTGATACTGTAGGATGCACATCTTCAACGTTTCTTAGAGTAGACTGACATTTTGATTTTATAAACAACAATAAGAAGAACTCAAACTTGCTTAAATACATAATAAAAAATTGGAGAAATCAGTTGAGGACCATTTCAGAACTTATTCAAAATCTGACCTAATCCAAGGCCAAAATTCATTTAATGGTTACTTTTTTATAAAAGATAAACTTTAGCAGCCCAGTCAGAAATTAAAATTTACTGTGTATGTATCTTTGTGTGGGTTTGTTCATGTGAGTGCAGATACCCAAGGTGGTGTTAAGGCCTATGGCACTCATGCAGTTGCAGCAGCCTGATATGGGTGCTGAGAACCAAACTCAAGTCCTCTGGAGTGGAGCAAGCACTCTGCACCTCTGGACCTCTCTCCAGACCTTCAACCAACAATTTTTAAAGCCAAAAATTCTAACGCAATAAAATTAAAGGGTATAATAACTTAATATTTACCTGCTGAGGAATGATGGTTGGAAAATATTAAGTCTTTGATTTCCACAGTTAAACCATTGTTTCTATAAAAGCAGAAAGTACTGTAACTGATAACATAAGATGACCTCAAATCTGAGTGGAGATGTCTCAGGCTTTACTTGTGGGCACTGAGTAGCATGATGGCCTGTGCAAAGGGCATATGCTATGTGTTCAGAACCAAGGCCTTAGTGACAGTGTGTAGTATAGGAACTGTCAGAAATGCCCTGAGCTCATTCCTGACCTTATTTTTAATTAAGTTTTGGTTATTTTGTGGTCAGAATCTTTTAGTGTTGACTAATGCTTTGTGACACACATCCCACCTTCACTTATGACCTCATCTGGGGTCATGACCCACAGTTTGAGAAGCTTGTGTTGGCTGGATATAGTTTAGTTGACAGAGTACTTGCCTAGCATGCATAAATCCCTAGGTTCTATCCCTAGAACTGTATCACACATTCCTGTAATCTGAGCACTCAGGAAGTAGAGGCAGGAAGAGCATCACTGGCTAGATAGTTTGCGGCCAGCATGGTCTACATGAGACCCTTCAAAAAACAAACAAATTAAAAAACCAAACTGGGGTTTACAATAAAGCCCTTTGATGTGGTAGTGGTGGTAGCATTTTGAAATTCAAAGTCCTCCTCCTGCTTCTGCTTCCAGAGTACTGCTATTACAGACATGTACCACCACACCTGGCTGGTTTGAACCATTAGAAAAAAAGATTCAAGCACAGCATTTGTGGTGCTTGCCTTTAGTCCCAGCACTTGGGAGACAAAGGCCAGCCTGGTCTACAGAGCAGGTTCCAAAGCTACAGAGAAACCCTGTTGGGGGGAGGGGGAGAGGAGATTCATTTATTTTTATTTTATGTATGAGTGTTTTGTCTGTGCGTATGTATGTTCACTTTGTGTTTGTCTGGTGCCTAAAGAGGTCAGAGGAGGCATTGGATTCCAGAAGGTTGTGAGCCACCATGTGGGTGCTGGGAACTGAACCTAGGTCCTCTGGAAGAGCAACCAGTGCTCTTAACCAAAGAACAGCTGAAAAGAAAGAATACAGATAACAGCACATCCACTTAGAATGTCAGAATGTGTGGCTAAGATGGAGATGAGGAAGCATAAAAAAGAAACATTCCTATTCTAAGTTCTAGAAAGATCAGCTTCACATTCCCAGCCACCTCCCAACACTTAACTTCATAGACACTTAGGACAGACTAGAGAACGTGGTCTCCTGCAGACATCAGACAGAGCTAGTGATATGGAGTATAAATTACTTCTAGAGATTAGGGCCAAAGGAAATGCAACAATGGGCACTCAGTAAAAAAAAAAACCGGAAAAGATTTCAAGTGGCTACAGAGTGAAATGAGGGAGGCAGACCGCTAAGTCCCCTTTCCAAATACCTGACAGCACAACAGTCAGAAAGGATAAGGGATTATTCTGGGACTGTAAAACCTGCTATTAACTTCAAAAGAGTTCTTACTGTCAACACGGAGCCAAGATTAACTCTTTCATGGATCAACAAAGCTGCTTTGTTCACGTCTAACATTTCAAAGCAAATTACCCAGCAAAGGAGTCAGAGCACACAGGTCCCATTGATGAGTCCCTCTCTTGACCACTCCAAAGCTATCAGGGTCTTCTGTTCATTTGCCCGTTTTAAACTGGAAGCTAAATTTTAGGACCTAAAATTATGACTGCCTTAAAAAGTCAAAGGCTCTCCTGGAGCTGCCCCAGAATGAAGAGATGTGAGTGTGAGCTCCTACCTTCAAACAAAGGATGAAGAAGTCTCCTGCCAAACCACACTGCTGGCAGTGGGACAGCAAGTCCCCAAGATGTTCCATCTGGCTCTGCTCAGAAGACACCTTCTGGTACAGGGCTTCATCTTCATCATCGCTGCAACACAGGGTAAGAGTGTTCATGTCAGTGTCACCAAACAGCATTTTCTCTTGAAACCTCCGTAATTTTCTTTTTTAAAAAGTTCATTTTATTTTGTGTGTGACTCCAGAGCACATGTGCACTGGCATAAGCTGCATATGGAAGGCAGAGGACAATTCTCAGGAATCCGTTCTTTCCTGACACCTTGTGGGATCCAGGAATCAACTTAGGTTCAGGCCTGAGCACAAACACTTTTACCTGCTGTGTCATTTCATAAGCCTGGAGCCTCATACTAACCTTCTGAAGTAACACTATTTCCATGTAGATCATCCTTAGATAGACCTGGAAAATATTTTCCTACATCTCCACACTGAAGAATGCAAAGTGTTTATTACTAGAAGCTAAGCTACTATACTCTGTACGATCATTTCTTTCTCAAAGCAGAAATGATCCCTAAAGGAAGTGGCCTTTAGGATAACCATTGAAAAATAAAACAAAAAATTTCAGGTGGGTTAAAAGAAAAAAAAAGAAAGAAAGAAAAAAAGATCATTGATGCTGGGTGTGGTGACTCAACTCTAATCACAACATTTTTTTTTTAATATGCATTAGTGTTTTGCCATGGGTGTCAGGTCCCCTGCAATTGAAATTACAAACAGTTATGAGCTGCCTAGTGGGTGCTGGGAATTGAAGCCAGGTCCTCTGGAAGAGCCATTTCTCCAGCCCATAATCACAACACTTGATGCAGGATGATTGTTTTAAGTTTGAGGCCAGCCTGGGCAACAAAATAAGTTCTAGACTAGTCTAAGTTACAGTAAGTGAATAAGCAGCAACAATAAAAAAGTATAAGCCCAGCAGTGGTTTTGATCCAGTGCACTCCTTTAATCCCAGCACTCAGGAGGCAGAGGCAGGTGGATCTCTGAGTTTGAGGCCAGCTGGTCTACAGAGTGAATTCCAGGATAGTCAGGACAGTTACACAGAGAAACCCTGTCTCAAAATCAACAAACAAACAAACAAAGTGAAAAATATGGCTCATATCTAAGTGCTCATAAAGTTTTTTTGTTTTTCTCTGCTTGAGACAAGGTCTTATTATATAGTACAAGCATGGAACTCACTCTATAGACCAGACTGGCCTTGCACTCACAGAAATCTGCCTGCCTCTGCCTCCCAGATGCTGGGATTAAAGGTGTATATCACCATGCCTGGCTTACTGGAAACTTCTGCTTGGCTAACAGAAGACTGAAAGGAAAGTGGTGAAACACATCAAGGTGCCTGCCCTGCCCTTGGGGAACTAGCAAGGCTTTTAGAGCAAAGGACAACACACACACACACACACACACACACACACACACACACACACACACACACACACAGAGAATTTTCAATCTTTTGGAAACTCTAATTGTTTTAAGTGTCTATGGGCTCTATTTTTTTTCTTTTTTTGTAAACCCAGGTGTTCATGTATCAATTTTTGTGTGTGTGTGTATTAAAATGTCAAAAGGGCTGTACCCCTAACCGGAGCAGACACCCAGATTTTAAGGAGTGGCTGCTTCTGGCAGTGGATGGAAATTCATTTAATCACTGGTTACTAACTATATTCTCATCAGGAAGTAAAGTAATAGTTTCAGTGAGAACTGTGGGTTTTCATATATACCTGTACTAATTAAACATGCCAAATACTTTTAAACTTTTATATTCAATGAGCTCAGCTAATAGACCTGCTAATAATCAACAATTCTCAGGAAGCTTCCATCTGTTCTGATCATTCTATTTTAATATTAGTTTTTTTCTGTTTTCCTCATTTATCATATTCAGTGTATATTTTACATTTTTACCAAGTTAATCATGAATGTAAAGCTAAATTTAAGCACTCCCACAAGCAGCAATACTTTGGATATGACCAGAAAAAGGGAGCTGCTGGCCAGTGACATATTATATGTCTACAGCCAACAGAAGCTTAGGCTGAGAAAACAGCATCCTCCACAGATCATCAGAAAGTAGAGTAATGTAAAATACAGACTTGCAGGGCTGGGAGAATAGCTCAGTTGCCTGGTATACATGTCAATTTCCACTACCACAAAAATAAAATACTAGTGAAAATGTTGGAGAAATAAACTATCCACTCTACTAATATATATCAAGTGTTTTTTGGTTGGTTTTGTTTGTTTTTTGTTTTGTTTTTGTTTAGCAAAGTTTCTGTGCATATCCCTGGCTGCCCTGGAACTAGCCCTGTAGACCAGGTTGGCCTAGAACTCAGAGATCCATCTGCCTCTGCCTCCAGAGTGCAGGGATTAAAGGTATTTGACACCATTGCCTAATAAGTACTTTCTAATCCATCCTTATTACAAAATTATCAAAAATGATCAGACAATTTCCCTTAAGAATAAGGCTGGGGAGGGGGCAAGAGAGATGGCTCAGCAGTTAAGAGCTCTTCCAGAGGTCCTGGGTTTGATTCCCAACATCCACACAATGGCTCTTAACCATCTGTAATTCCAGTTCCAGGGGACTGGACACTCTACTACACCAGGCATACATGTGATGTATAGACACACATGCAGACAAAACACCATACATATAAAATAAATACATAAATAATTTTTTAATAAAAAAAAGAAGACCACTAAGAGCATACAAATCCCTTTTGAGGATACTACCTTTTGAGTCAGAAACAGAACTGGATTGCTCTAGTGTTAAGGGTGAACACGTGCTACCCTTTGTTCTGATTCACGGCAAACACTGAGCAGTAACTGGACTTGCCTTGATGCGGAGCTGTGAGGCTCCAGTAAACCGCACCTACTATTAGCTGGCATCTTGGAATAACACCCAGAGGATCATTTAAGGCTCTGGTTTCTTTAAAGATTATAAATAGCAAGCAGCTTGGCTGCCTGTTTCTGGTTTCCTTTCCATCAGCGCCCCTTAGTGGTTGACTCACTGAACAGTGCAATATATACAATTCTATCAGGCCTAACAGCAGAAGATGGGTGAGCTCACCTAGTGGCCTCTTTGACAGTAATCACAATGCCACCGTGCATGGCAGCTCTAAATTGACACTGAGGATGGAGGGAGGGCGCAGCTCTGTCCAACCCCGAAAATCCTTTCAGGCTGGCAATTGCCTTCTTCCTTTCCAGCTTCACCAGAATCCATAACAAGATCTCTTGGCAAAGTGACCTGGCAGAAAAAGCAGTTATGAATGAATGAGCCTGTCATCTTACTCCACACAGCTAACAAGCTATTCGGGAAAAGGAAGAAAAACTGTCAGGGTTCCCAAATGCTGCCCCATCAGTGGCTGCTGACACGCTGGAGAAGGAAGCATGCATCCTTCAAATTTCAGAGTGCAAATGCCCTCAAGTCACCCAGGGACAGCTAACCCTTGGCTCTAGAAGCAGCTCTGGCCACCACCATGAACACCATGTGAAAATTTTTTTTTTTCTCTTATTTCAAGTGTGCTCTACCTGTGCTCAAACACCATGAATGAAAACTTGCAATGAAAAAAACAAAACAAAACAATTATTCTCAGGGCATCAACAGCTAGTGACCAAAAAATAGCAAAAGACTGATGATTCCTTCATCAGTGCCCTCTAACTAGAAGAGACTGGAATGAATACATGCACTCTCCTTGTTAGTCTTTGATGAGGACAGAACAGTGCTAGAGGCTTTTTTATTTTTTTTTTTTTAAGGTTTTTATTTTTAGACTGGGCATGATTACACATGCCTTTAATCACAACTACAGGGCTGAGTATCTTTCTCCACCATTAGCAACCATGCTAATGATTACTATGAGTTATTGAGCTTACTATTTGCCAGCAACTGTGCCAAGGACTCCAGTGCATATTCTGTCTTTATAATAACCCAGAAGTACTACTGTTGTGCTGGGCGTTGGTGGCACACGCCTTTATTCCCAGCACTCAGGAGGCGGAGGCAGGCAGATCTCTGTGAGTTCGAGGCCAGCCTGGTCTACAGAGCAAGTTCCAGGACAGGCTCCAAAGCAATATAAAGAAACCCTGTCTCAAAAAAAACAAAAAAACAAAACAAAACAAAACAAAAACAAAAACAAAAAACAAAAAATAAGTACTGCTGTACCGCTGTTGTATATCAGAATATATGCAAGGTTTTGTTTGCTTTTTCTTTTTCCTCTGTAGTACTAAGGCTCAAATTCAAGGGTCTCATGCATACCAGGCATGGGCTCAACCACTCACTGAGCTACAACATCCTTAACCCCCTCCCCAAATCAAAATTCTATACACTTCAGAAAGGATGTAACTACAGACTCTTCCCATGTGGAACGTCACAGATGACTGGAAATAGGTAATATGAAATGAATCTTTTAAAAAAACTAAGTTGTTTATTTAATTTTATGCTTGTTTTACCTACATGTATGTCTGTGCACTGTGTATATTAAGTGCTTAACGCAGGCAAAAAGACAGCATCAGATCCCCAGGGACTAGAGATACAATTGTTAGTCACCATGTAGGTGCTGAAAATTAAAGCAGAGTCCTCTGGAAGAGTAGCCATGGCTCCCAAACCAATGATCCATCTCTCCAGCCTCTAAATGAATCAGTTTTGCAGTAACATAGAAAAATGTTTTCTAGATGGCTAAGAAGCCCCTTCCTTTTAAAATGAACACTCTGCATCATCAATGTCAAATCCAGGCTAAACTATGATATATTACATTCACATCCAGATTTTTCAAACCTGTTCTCCAACACTCCATCACCTGTTTCCTCCTTCCCAGAGACAGCAAAATGCAGCATTTCTTACTGATCAAACAATGGCATGTTTATCAATGGAAACACCTTCCACTTCTGCTGTATAAGATGGGCTACAGAAAATCACCCCCAAAACTACACCCAATTTCCTTCAACATTCAGGATCCTTGTTCTTTTTTGTAAAAGCTGAGTAAGAGAATCCCCAAACATCTTCCTGTCTTTTGAGAGAAAATAGTCAGCACCTTAATCTAAACTTCACTGTCTACAAACAGGTGGTATTCCAATTCTAAGCAAATAAATTCTATTTGCTTACCTTATGTGAGACACACTCTGCTTGGTAAAACAGTAGAGAGAAAAGAACACCCCGAGGAGTGGAAGCAGGGCATCCAGCAACACTGGGAGAGGCTCGTTTGCCACCACATACACCTACAGACAAAGACACGATGAGACAGACCACAACCAGGCCAGAGCAACAAGAGCTCAACACCAAGCTTCCACAGAACGTGAAGTTTATCTTCACCGCACTTTCTTTTAAGGCACACAGTTCTAGTCCAGGGCTGTGATGAACCTGGCATGGAACCATATTGGTTGAAAGCAGTGAAAGTTGAGTTCCAGCACCTTCCCACTCACAGACTGAAAAATAGCCCAAAGTCAGGAGATTCACCCATTTCTCTCCTCACTTCCAGCAGCCTCTGAGCCTCCTGACGTGTCTACTGTGAACTGTGCAGTAACTGTTCTATTGCTGAAGGCTGGTTAACAGTTAACTATTATCAAATAGGAAACCTAAAAACCAGTCTGAAGGACAAGGCCTTGGGCTCAGTGGTGAGGCTGGACTAAGTCCTCAAAGCTGAAAGAAAAGGGAAATTAAACTAAAACCTAGATTAGAAACAAAACAGCTCACTATGGTTCATTACTTTCAAGCTATGATGCTATACGGCTGTTCTATTAAGTCCAAGTCAAGACATGTTCAAAAGGTATGCTCATGGTAGCTCACACCTCCAAACCCCAGCATTCAGAAGACTGCCATGAATTTAAGGTCAGTTAGGGCTATAGTAAGAAACCCTTATCTTTGGCCAAGCCGTGGAGGCACACACCTTTAATCCCAGCACTCAGGAGGCAGTGGTAGGTGGATCTCTGTGAGTTCAAGGCCAGCCTGTTCTACAGAGTTAGTTCTAAGACAGCAAAGGCTACACAAAGAAATCCTGTCCCCCCCCAAAAAAAAATTAAAAAGGCATTATGGCTCACATCTATAATCCTAGAACCACTGAGACCAAATCAGAAAGATCACTGACAGTTTTAGGCTAGCCTGGTCTAAGCAGCAAGTTCCAGGTTAACCTGGGCTATAATAAAAATCATCTTTAAGGGAGAAAGAGGGTGAGTTGATGTTGGTGAGATGACTCAGTGAAGCACTTACTATGAGAACATGAGCACCTGAATTTGATCCCCAGCACCCACATAAAAAGCTGGGCATAGCCACATGGTGCCTGTAATCCTAGTGCTAGGAAGCAGAGACAGGAATATCCCTGAGGCTCACTGACCAGCGAGTCTACTCAACTCCATGAGCCTCAGCCTAGGGAAAGACCCTGTCTTTCTGGAAGACAGCCAACACTGATCACTGGCCTCTGTGTGTGCATGCACAGACACATACATATATACTCAGGAGCATGTACACATATAACACACAAAAAGTAAATCACTTTAGTATTATAAAAAATTAAAATTATAAATATATATATATACATACATACACACACACACACACACACACACACACACACATATATATATATATATAATTATAACAATCTGAAGCTGGACATGGTGGCAAATGACTGTAACCCTAGTACTTAGGAGACAGAGATGGGCGGATGGCCTCACAGTTCAAGCCCAGCCTTGTATATGTAGCCAGCTAGGGCTACACATCACATAGGGGAATGTGTGTGCACACGTTCATGGCGTGCATGAGCACATATGCACACACGCATGCGCACACACACAAACACACCATGTATATGTGTATATAAACTCTCCCTGTTAGTTTTAGCAGCTTTATTTAAAGAACAGAGAAACTTGAAGAGTGTGCTGGGGTACAAATCAATGCTATTTCTGAGAAATCAAACCTTGTAGAGGGCCTCATGTAGACTGGTAAAAGCTGTTTTTCAGCAAGCCCTGTCCCTTTAAATGAACTCTCTAACTTTCCACACTCCTCATGCCTCCTGACTCCTCTGAGGAACCTGATAACTAGAGAGCCTGCTTCCTGTGCATGATCTAATTTCCATAAGCTGCAAATGAAGGGCCTTGTAGGGCTGTGTTCAGAGGTAATATGAGGCCTAATTACAGCATCACAACTACAGGAGGTAAAATAAGAGATCTCCCAGATAACCTAAGGACCTATTGTCTGGCTCTGGAGCCTGTGTTCTCAGAGGTAAGTACTGTGGAGCCACCCCTCCACACCAGCAGCATTTGATGGCTTGATAAGGCCAACACACTTCGAATTTTATTTTATTTTTTTGCAGTGCAGGAGATTGAAACCAGAAAGAGCCTCAGTTATGCTAAGCAGGCTCTCCACCCCTGAGTGGTTATGTACACCTTTAATCCCAGCACTCAGGAGGCAAAGGTAGATGGATCTCTGAGTTCAAGGCCATCCAGGTCTACAGGGCAAGTTCCAGGACAGCAATGGCTACACAGAAAAACCCTATCTCAAATAACAAGTTTAATTTTTAACTAAATTTTATTTACTTTGTCCATGTGTGTATGTGCACGTTCATGAATGTGTGCACATGTATTATGTATGTATGCATGCACATGCATGCATGCAGCATACATGTAGAAATCAGATTATTATTTTCAGGAGTTAGTTCTCTCCTACCATAGTAGTTTTGGGAATTGAACTCAGGCCATCAAATGTAGTTGAAAGCAAGTGCCTTTACTCAATTAGCCATCTTGCTGGCCCCAACAGTACATATTAAAATGACCCAGCTCAGGGTTGGAGAGCTGGTTCATCAGTTAGGAGCACTTGTTGCTCAAGCAGAGGACCAGGGCTGGATTCCTGGTACCCACACAGTGATTCACAACTATCTGAAACTCTAGTTCCTGGGATCCAAAGACCTCTTCTGACTGTCACAGGCACCAAGTTCACATACCTACACAAGGCAAAACATACACATAAAAAACAAATTTTTTAATGGCTCAGCTCATATCCTCTCAATTTTATGCACCTATTTTATATTTTACTGTTTCAAACATTTATTGAAACATTTAAACTTTCAACTTGATCAAGGTATATCAATTTGTTTTTGTTCTATCTGTCTTGGTGCTAAAGATAAAACCCTGTTTGGTTTAAAGTTTTCCTGGTTACTCATAATATTTACAGAAGTAATGATCACAAACAAAATGCTAAGGGACATAAAGCTGAAGCAGGGAAGGGAGGCACAGATCCTGAGGGATTATTCTCAACTCTGCTTCAGAAATACTTTCTAAGGGGAGTGGAAGAGTGCTGTGGTTTTCCAGTCAGAAGAGCTGAGGGATAAACTCAGAAGCCAGTATGGACTATGGAAGCCATGACAGGTCAAAGCAGGTTAGACTGAGGATATAAAGTTGTACAGATGATCCCAATGGCAGTCCGGAACTTCTGGTCCCTGTCAGGAGACTTTCACATTCCTCTCTGACTGCATTTCAGCTTTTGAAAGTGTCTGTGTTAAGTTCTCCAGTTGTTCATGCCTTTATCTAGAGGTTCAGAGAACCGCTGTACAACAAAGGATAGATCCATATCTCTGGACGTTCTTCGGTATGTATACACTGAACACTCCTGTCACTCTCTGACTGCTGGGGAGGTCCCTGATGGCAGGGGCAGGCCCTCAGTTATTCCTGTATCAACCTGGCAAAGCATCTGCATTCAGTAGGTACTGGTACACATTAAGTAGGTACTGGTGCACATTCAGTAGAAGGTGGTAGGCATTCAGTAGGTGCTGGTGCACATTCAGTAGGTGCTGGTACATATTCAGTACACATTCAGTAGGTGATGGTACACATTCAGTAAGTACTGGTACACATTTAATAGGTACTGGTGCACATTTAGTAGATACTGGTACATATTCATGAGACTAACTAGAGAAAAGACACAGTAAGCAGAAGAGCCTGGTTTTTATTCTCAAACAACCTACTTATAAGAAATTATATTGTCCTGCACCTTTTTTTGTTTAGTTGGGTAAGGACTCATATAGCACAGACTAACCTCTAACTATGAACTTCCTTTTTTATTATGTTGTGGTTGTTGTTCTTGTTGTGAGTTTGTTTGTTTGACACAGGGTCTTACTGTGTATCTCTAGCTGTCCTAGAACTCACTCTGTAAGCCAGGCTGGCCTCAAACTCACAGAGATGTGCCTGCCTACCTCCTGAGTGCTGGGATTAAAGATGTGCCCCACTATGCCTGGCTTTTTTTGTTTGTTTGTTTTTATTTTTTTTTTTTTTTTTTTTTTTTTTTTTTTTACTAAAGTCTACCTCCCCCATGCTGGGATTGAAGCATGTGTTACCACATGAAGTTTATGTGCTGTAACTCTAGCTCCAGGAGCATTCAGCCCCTTTGGCTTCTGTGAGCACCACAAACACACTTATACACATAACTAGAGATGAAATTCATGGCTTCCTACATGCTGGGCAAGCATCCTAGAAACTTAGCCACATTACCCAGTCACCTCTTTATCCAACCTATAGCTATAGACTACTCAATGAGTGCTAATTAACTTAACAGGACTATAGAACCTTAGCTTCGGAAGGAAAATCAGAGCATGAGGCTAGATTTTATACTGATCAGTTTATCTATATTTGTAACAGCTAGAGTATCTCCATTAGATTTGCTAGAAATTTAGATTATAAGAGAAAGGGGAGGAAGGTCAATCATGTGTTTCTGTTTCAGAAAAAAAACAAAACAGAAAGGCATCCTTACAAGCTGCACTGATTTCAGCGACGGTCATTATGGTCTTCTCATTTGTTATGTGTATAAGTGTGTTTGTGGTGCTCACGGAAGCCAAAGGGGCTGAATGCCCCTGGAGCTAGAGTTACAGGCAATTGTGAGACATCTGACAAGAGTGCGAGGAATCCGACTCTGGTCCTCTGCAAGAGCAGTAGATTCAGAACTGCAGAGCCATTCTCCAGTCTTATTACCAGAGCCTTGAGCGCAGCCCTCAGGGAGCACTAAAACTAATGAGGACTAGGGGAGTCAAGAGACAGGGAATTTGGGTATGAATTTTGATTCTGCCACCTCTGCAGTTGCTCAAGATCATACACTGAATAATTATGGATAAATTTTTTTTTTTTTTTTTGGAGACAGGGTCTCACTATGTAGACCAGGCTGTCCTTGAACTCACAGCAATCAACCTGCCTCTGCGTGTACCTTTTGAATGCTGAAATTAAAGGCACCAAAAAAG